ATAGATAGATAGATAGATAGATAGATAGATAGATAGATAGATAGATAGATAGATATTTATCTATGTATTGCTAGGCACAGCTTCCTGTACTTTATTAAAAGGAAGAAGAAAACAAACATGCTTCCACTGTTAAACACGTTAGCAGTATTTTGCAAGTAATACTATATTGCAGTGATATAACACTTGAGCTGTTTGTCTTGGGAAAGGGACTCAGACAAATAGGTAGCATAGTGACATTTATCATGATTGCTGCTGATATGTATCTAATGCATTAATTATATTATTTATTTTGTCAAATGCTTACAATATAATAGAAATAAGAATAAATATAAGTTTAAATACATGAAATAGGAACTAATAATTGGTGACAATAGGACAGGGATGGTAGGCACAATTGTGTGCTTTTGCACGCCACTTATTATGTACACTTTGAAGTTATTTCTGGCATTATTCCTAGCACAAAAGAGGGAGATAATTATATTGGACTCTTAAGGAAGATTTAAAACATTCATGATAACTAGATCTTTGGAGTGGTAGAGGAGGGAAGTCTTCTAGCTGCAGTCAGGAATTTTAATAAAGCAAAAATAAAATAATGCCAGGTTTGCACCAAAAGTTTTGTTAACAAACTGTTTTATCATTTTATTTTTTAAAAAACATAAAGCAAGTGTGAGTTTAGGATGAATGCTTTGATTAGAATCCAGATGGACTCTATTTTAATCATAAAATTAATTTTATGTTATGTTTATTGTATGTTCAATTAATCTTATTAAGCTAGTTTGGTGTAAAACTTAAGGAACCAAGCAAGAGACATGGACACATGAATTCTAGTTCCTTCTTAAGCACAAAGCCAGATGAGTAATCTTGGGCTATTCATTCTGTCAGCTACAGAAAAAAGGAAATGCAAAATGTCTTTTGAAAATGTTGCATCTCTCTCTCTCGCGCTCTCTCTCTCTCTCTCCCTCCTTTCTGTTCCTCCCTCTCTCCTTCTCTCTCCTTTACTCATTCAGAAATCCAGTCTTTTCTGGTTGTAACAAAAAAAAGGACCAAATAAAATAAAATAAAAAATACTCGGAGCTAGGTGGGCTTGATGGTTTAGAAACTGAAGCCAAGATGACCTGAGTAAATTTCTTAAATTGTCTTTCCTAGTGAAATAAGTTAAAATTAATGTACCAGCACATTAATTTCATATTAATAAAAAGTGATCAGATTTGTTAATCCAACTCTAAAATAGTTTTCAATAGGTTTCTACAGGAAGCTTGACTAATATAAAAATATTCAGCTGTTCGCAGACATCCAAACTCAAAAGTTGTTTCAAAAACATGCTTGCAGAAAAAATAGCAAATCTAATTATTAATTTTATATATACTTGGAAGTTAAAAAAAAATCCACAAAAAGGTTACATTTTTTTCTCTAAATTTTTAACTACACCTGTTGTTTTTTTTCCTTTTAAAAATATAATATGTATTAGACTTACCAAGTTGATTTGAACTGTGTTTTCCCAGTTCATTTCATCATTTACTCCAGCATTATTGACTAAAATATCCAGATGTCCAAAATGTTGAATTGTTTTCTTAAATGCATCTGTAAGGAAATTTGATTTTTATTTCCCTAGAATAATATGTAATGATTGATGACAATACCATCAGAACTATAATTCTGCTTTAACTAAGTGAATCCACAGTGATACAGTTATAAGTATGATTTTTCAAATCATTCATCATATATATTGGTTTAACTTTTATCAATGGAATGCATATCCTAATATATATAGAGATGTTTTATTTATCCACATTGGTGAATGGATGTGGACAAAGCAAAAATGGTTTGCAAAGATAGAAAATTATGAAAAAACTGTTGTGAATTATATTTGGATGTAAAGGAAGGAATACAGTTCATTTTCTTTTCTCATATTACTTTTTAGTTACCTTAAGTTACTACTTCTCACTCTTTTTCTATGATTCAGCTGATTAGCCCCAAAAGAAATGTATGTGTTGAGTGTGTGGATGTGTTGGTGTTATCTCTACATATAAATACAATGGAGCTTAACCCAAACTGCTTCTGTGGGGCAAAGATATTACTCTACCAGAAGTCCTTGATAGCCTTTAAGGAGTCAAGTGACAAACTATCACCAGATTAACTAGTGGAAAGCATAAAAAATGAAACTTGGAAGAAAGAAGTGAAAGAAGCTGTATGTACTGAAATGAGGAAATGCTAGGAGCAGGATTTTTGAAACACCAGTTAGATATTTGGTGATATAACAAAGAATGAAATAGAAGATGTTAAAAATATTAGTATTCAAGAAAGATGTCAGTGAGAAAGATGTCACAAACATGAAAATGTTGAAAAATGCTAATGCTGCATGTCTAACAATTCAACCGAAGAAATGCTAAAATGCAAGGGGTGGTTTACTTAAGGAGCAAAGATAAGGTTTGCTTAAGAAGCTTAAACTTGTGCAAACTCCTTAAGTGTGAAGATCACATCTACATCTGATGACAGAAGATTGCTCTAGCTGTTATAGTAGCAAAGAGTAAAATGCAAGAATGAATGCAGAGATTACAAGGAATTAGTTGAAGTGTGTGACAGGATTAAAATGCTATTTATTAGATATTAGGCAGCCAGTTTGGTCTAATAGTTAACTCACCATCCTAGAAAGTGGACCACTGTGAATTGTAGCCTTAGCCTTAGCTATGACTTTGGGCCAGTCATTCTCTCAGCCCTACTCACTTCACAGGGTTGTTGTTGGGAAAATAGGAGGAAGGTATGCTGGATATGTTTGCCACCTTGAATTATTTGTAAAAATAATAAAGACCAGATACAAATAAATAAATATTGTACTATTTAAGGTAATACATACTAAATATTACCTTGCTGAATTCATTTGGAAGAAAACTTATGTCTTCCATAATAGTGGAAGACAAGTATTTTATTTATGCCCTAGGTTTGATTTAAAGGTGAAAAAGTAAAAAAGTAAAATAAGTTCCTATATATTCAGAAAGGGTATTAAAATAACTGTGTGACTTTTATTTCAGGGATAAAGTCTAATGTTAATGGATTAACTGTTTGTGACTAACCAGAAGAGGGAGTTGGGGACAGTAGTAAAATCTCAGTGAAAATATTGGTTCATTATGTAACTACTGGGGAAGGCAAATCCCAGACAGAAAATCATGAAAAAAGGTTAAAAATATCAATACTAAAATGTCTTCACACGAATACATGGAATGAATTTCTTAGAGTATTGCCAGCAATTTTGGGTCTTATTAAAGTATGGTAGAAAAAATATTTGATTTGAAATAAGTTATAATTCAATTATAGAAAATATCCGCAAGAGTCCACTGCTTTTTTAAAAATACACAAGCACCTAAATATTAGAGGAAGTATGAAAAATGCTTCTCTGTACTTAAACTGGAAACATGAAAGCTGAAGAAAACCTGGCTGGACAGATTGACAAATTCCTAGTTTGCAATATGTTTACAATTTAGGTGAAAAAGCTCAGAAAAGGAACCAAAATGATGAAGCTGAATGGGAACTGAAAGAAACATCATTGGGGATATTTGACTTAGAAAACTGTGGGTAAAGAGGACATAGTAAAGCATTATTAAAGTATAGATTATGTTGAGAAAATGAGCATTATTATTTTTTCTCTATATGTCACAAAACTGACATTAGGATTTCTAAAGGAAGATAAGTGGTGGTAAACTTGAGGCTTAATTTTAAGTGCTCATTGTCTCTGTTGAGAAACCTTTAAAATGTTTTTCATTTTCACAAATACTTTTTATAAGCCAATAAAAATAAACTGTTCTTATATTACAAATTATATACAAAGTATGTGTCTTGTTTTTTCTCCAGCAGACTAATAGTTATTCCTCTGGAAACTGTTTGCAAAGGTTTTCTCAAAAAGATAAGTAGTACAAATGATTAGAATTGTAACTTTTAAAAAGAAGATACAGACTAAATGGTTCAAGGAAAGCTTCTTGGCTAAATGTATTTCAGCTCTTTCATCTCTGCTTTAAGTAGTTTTTCATGAGAATACATTATTCTTATACTTCCGGATCTAAAAAAAAAAATCCATCGAAGCCACTGGCATTGTTAAGTGTAATAGGTTTAAAATCATAAGTCATCCAGTTGTCAGCAAAGCTGATTCCTTCCCTCCTTTGCAATTACAGAGCTGCCAAATTATGCTTTAAACCATTTTTAAAACTGGAAGAAATTCAAGTGTAGTCTGAGAAGTAGAGACAAAGGGATAGGTAAAAGGGAAAATACAACTTTTATGCTATAGCTACCAAATCCTAAAAAAACTTCTTTGAATGAAATGGTCTCTTCTTTATGAATAAATATTACGCTAAATAACATTTAAAAGTCAATGTTCATCGTAGTACTAGATTTGGAAAAGATTGTATTTGAAGAGTTTTGAATTCATACACAAACTTTGATCCAAAATTCAAAAATAACCTATATTGGTTATTGACATAATAAGTCAATATTGCTAATATTTCACAATTTGCACTTATACATTCTGGTTAGCTGCAAACTTCTTTCTAGAAACTATAATTGCATATTGACATAGAAAATATTTCAATTTATGATCAATAAGTAATAAAATATGTCTGTGTTTTAGTGAAGTTTCATATGTTCACCATTCAAAATATATATCATTTTCTCTCTACTGCCTACTGGTGCAGATATATCTGTACAACTACTTTACACATTATTACAAAGAATAAAACTTTACTAGAAAGGCTATTTTATTTTATTTTACAGGCTTTTATAGAACTTTTACATATGATGCCCCAGACTGGAAGCCTGGCTAACCGGAACAATACTCATCCCTAGAATTTGATTATCTATTTCAAACTTATCAGCTCCACATAGAAAACATTGATCCAAATAATGTGCTCCTTTGAATCTTTCATACTAAAGGACTGACAAGAAATTGATATTGGGGTTAACTGGAATCACTAACCTATTCATGAGAAGGTTCTTATTAAGACTGCTGACAGATCTCAAATACTTCCAAATGCCATTTGTAGATTTACCCAGCAATCTGAGGCAGAGTTCTATAGGATGCCTTGTTAGATTCAGAACATAAAGTTGACTAGGTTGCTTGATACAATTGCTCCTCACTAGTCTTTCCTCGCCCATTGCTCCTGAGCAGCTCCTTATTTCTCTGAGGAATTTTAGGAAAACAAATGTGTGAAGAGACCCTTTTAGGGAAGAATGGTCTGGAATAACAACTGAATATAAATGTCAGTTGTCAGTCCAAACATTTCATGAAGAAGATTATTTGATTTCATTCCAAGATGGAAGCAAGGTGGATGGAATCTGTTAAGATGACAGGAAATAACTCTTGTAATCACATCTACAGTAGGAGATTCTTGAGCATGTGGATCCCAATGAGATATACAAAATTATGTTTGATCTTAATTCTGTCACTTGTACATCGAATCCTGGCCCATATGCCTAGAAAAGAGAGCCAATGAGAGTCCAATACAATGGATCCATCCTGTACATAAAACTTGCTTGAGAGACAATGAAATTCTAGCATTTCTGCAAAATGTCCAACCATGGAAATGGAATAAATTTAGTTACATCAACATTCTACTTCTTGGCAAGATTGCTGAGAAAAGGGTAAACTATCTTTCAGAGAGCTTTGGAGAATATAATCTAGATCCAGGGCAATCTGGATTCAACTTTGGAATGAAGCAGAAAATGCATCAATAACTGTAATAGATGAACTCCAACAGGAATTAGGTGAAGAGGGCACACAACTATCTTCTTTCTAGATCTCTTAGCAATTTTTGATACTGTTCATCATAGTATACTTTTGGATGGATTGCAATGGTTGGAAGTTGGAAGCATTATTTTAGCACACGGTTCTGCTCTGTCCTAAGTAGGCAGTTCAGTCAATAGGGGTAGAAAGAAGTTGGCCTTTGCACTAATTGTTATGGGATTTTATGAGCTTCATTCTTTTTCCTGTTCACTTGGTAAGGTCATTTATTAGGTTCAGAGTGGTGTATTGTCAGCTTCACTTGGTAAATCAGAGTAGGAAATAAACTTCAACTTTAACCTATGGAGCCCAGATCTACATTTATTGAGATTGGCTTTAATAAAAGAATCTTGTCTCATTGAGCTGTACACCCTTCTCTTCCTCAAAATATGGACTTCCTTCTGGATTCATAGATCCTGAGTAGGAAGGAGACATGGCCAGGGAGTCTTTGCTTTAATGTTTCTGCCAGTTATAGTGAAATCTGGATCAGGAGCCACTTAAAACAAGTCTGTCACATTTGCAAAGATTACTGCCATTTGTAGTAATAAGGGTTTGAATTTCAGAATCATCCAGAAGCTTTAACTGATCTAAAATACATTGTTTTTTTGGAGTGCAATTCAGATGCTGGTCATCATGTATAAAACTCTACAAGGCTCTGTGTCTGACTATCTAAAAGACAATCTTTTCCAGATAATTCTGTCTAATTAATCAGACAGCCAGATAATGGGTGTCACCTACCAAGCATGTACGTGTAAGTCTCTACAGGTCTCGCATTTTGTGCAACAACATACCCATGGAATGAGGATGACCCCAATTTTTGTAGCCTTCTGGAAAGTTGCAAAGACTTGAGTTTTCCAGAGAGCCTATTGGAACTGATTCTAAAACCACTGATCCTGAAAACAGCTCTACAATTCCGTTCTACATTCTTTTATACCATTTACTATATTAGCGTATTATTCTTTAGTACATACACATGTTAACTTTCCTAAGTCCAACAGGTTATTGTATCATGATTCTTGATATTTGTATCATGAATCATGAATTGTATCATGAATCTTTGCCTAGGTTCAGAAACACAAATCCTACACTTTGTTATTGTTGCTTTGTTATTGTACTTCATAACAAAGAATTGCTTTGGATAATGAAATTAAATAAACACTTACATAATTGTAAATATTTTTTTATTTGTCTTCTTCTCTCCTACCCAAGTGAGTTCTGGGTCTCAGGAGGCCTGGAACTTTGGAAGAGGGTCTTGCTTTATGGATGCTTCAGAAAGCACAATATAGTGTAGCCTTTTTAGAGACTCCAAAAATTGTGTGAGAATTTAACATGCATTTTGGAATCTGCAGAGTTTCCACAAGAATTTGATGAGGTCTCTGCAGTCTCCAGAGCCTCTGGAAGTCACACAAGCAGGCACTGTTTCCACATACCTCTAAAATTTGCAGGGCTTCTAGTCATGTCATCAAAAATGACATGGCATGTCATTTGTGATGTGTGGCGTAGATTCACCATGCAGTAGAGTAAAACCATATTTAGCTGAGTTCTCTCTATTAGTTTGTTCCAGCAAAATTAGTAATTATCCCAAAATATTGTACAAGGACAGGACAAATGGTACTATCAAACAGTAATTTTAGTCATTCATTTCAATAAGGTCCTGGGTTTTCCTGGCCTATTTTGGTGGGTTTTTTTAAATACATTTGCATTGGGAACATCCTTAAAATGCTGTTTAGAATTTAGATTGCATTCTTTCTAATTGTTTGAAATTCTAGCTCCCAGCCCCAGCCCTCGTCTCTTTCTCCCTCTATCCCTTTTCTTTTGTTTTTGCAGAATATACTTAAGGCTGCAAATCTATATGATCTTCTTACTGTACAGAATTTTAATGCTGCCATGGCACAACTCCTTACTATCCCTGTATCACGCTCTAATGTCACCCCCATCTATACTGGACATAAAATCATACTGCTAAATATTTCAAGGTTCTGACCTGTTCAGTTTGATTATCATCTATCAGCTGCATATAAATTTTGGACCTTTTAGCAAAAAATATTTATCATAAATAGGTTTTCCAATGGCAGGAGATCTCAGCATTTTCCCCACACATATTAAGGTAACAGACTGTATTTGCATACCAAAGTAACAACACATATCTGTTTGGCTAGATGGGGAACAAGGCTCATTATTATTTCAGCTGCATGGCATTTAAAATAGGGCATTAAAAAACTTTTTGGAAAACTTCTAACCTTTAAGTTTTTCTTCATTTGAAACATCACAAGGAATGAAAACAGTTCTCTGTGGGCTGTACTGCTTATCAAAGGCATCCTTGCTGGCTTTGCCTGCATCTGTATTCAGATCCACAAGTGCCACCTAGGAAAAAGGAGTATTCCACACAGACCTATAAAATTAGATGCATATCCTGACATAGAAGACAGAAAAATAAGTCATACCTTTCATAGACATAAAACAGAGAAAGAAAGAAGAGCCGTTTTAGAGTAGTGATTAGTTGATATAATATCTACATTTGTACAAATATGTAGCTTTATATGAAACAAATGTGGTAGAAATTGGAAGCACATTACCTAACCATTTTGCATTATATAACTTATTTGAGGACATAAATCTTAGGCATTTCAAAGGGAGGCTAAGTAAATTAAGTAAATTTCAACAGTTTGAAATGTGTCACTCCCTAGAAATTCTAGATTTTACAACATAAAAAAAGGAAGGAATATAAAATGTCCTGACAGCCAGGCAGTTGAATTTAGCATGGCATTAAGTGCACATGGAATACATTACCAGCATATCTATAGGGAACAGTAGTGTTTTCAGACATTTGGAGCGACTGAACATGCATGCCTATTTTTATCAATGCATGTTAAAATATTTTAAAATTAGAAACTGTGACTACAAACACCAAATCCTATTTCAAATAGGCCCAAGAAAGCACAGTAATATGTTTTATGTTGACCGCTCTCTCGAAAGAGAATTAAAGGAAGATTTTACCCGCACATATCAACTAATATGCTGCACTTTGAAACTAGTACCATCCATTCAGTCGCTTCTAACCCGCTCTACCTCCGTCCCTCCCTCTACACACACACACACACACACACAGAGAGAGAGAGAGAGAGAAAGAGCAGCTGCGGAGCTCGTACTACTGGAGAGAGACAAAAGCCAATAGCTCCGAGATACTTGCATGTTCAAGAAAAAGGAGGAGCCACTTCGATCCTACGAACTCCGAGAGGAACTTCTATCATTGCTCCACAGCGCGGGGGAGAAGGCAAGCAACGCAGGGGTGGACTGTCTGCCAGTGACAGCGGGTTTTTTTCTGCTTCCCCCCCCCCCCCCCCCCCCCCCCCCCCCCCCCC